AATAATAATAATAATAATAATAATAATAATAATAATAATAATAATAATAATAATAATAATAATAATAATAATAAAAATAATAATAATAAAAGTAATAATCAACAGGACATTAATTTGGAGGCTTGTAGGTTATCGGAGGAACTAAGACGCGCTCAAGAGAATCACCGTCCAAATCCACTTCCACCACCCCGTAGACCACAATTAGAAAATACTTTCAAAACGGAATATCAGCAAAAAATAAATTCTCAAGATAACAATAACAATAACAATAATAACAAAAGCAGCAGCAGCAACAGCAACAATAACAGCAACAACAATCCATCATTGCTGATATCAACCTTAGGCAACCGAACAGCTGAACAAAGATTGGTTAGATCTGAAATCAACTTAGAGTCACCGTCAGAACCATCACCATTTCCTGCTCATTTGACACGTTCTGATCATAGTTTACCAGTGTCACGATTGCCAAAGTTAGCATCGAAAATACCTTCTCCTCCAACAGTGAGAGCTACAAAATCACCGGTGCAAAAATCCAAAACTTCGGATAAGGAATATCCCGAAGCTGGCAAAAAATCAATAAACATGACTCCAAAATCGAATGAAACATCACCACCAACATCATCATCACTATCACCAACTTCCCCATCGTCAATTCCTCTCTCACCTGAACCGAGCAAAAAACATAAAGCTGGTATATTTGGATTATTTAATAAACAATCAAGTCGTGAGGCAAGGTCACGAGCGTCTTCACCAGTTCCTCCGACACCATTGTCACCTTTACGCTCACCATCAACATCACCGTCGATGCAATCCACATTATTATCTGCGAGTAATAATAGACCTTTATCACCTTCTGTATCTCCGCGAAAATTTTCTCGCTCACAATCGCCGCAATCTCCCCCACAAACACCGAAATCTTCTTCACAACGCCCGAATCGTCCTAGAAGGGCAACAGACTCTGTTGTTCCCACAAGCCCAACATCAGCGACATCAGAAGCCGTAAGACAAAAAAAGATGCAAGAATTCGAAGCCTTGATTGCAGATGCAAATAAACCAAAAAAGAAGCAAACAAATATTCCAGTTGCAAAGATAGCTCTTAATAATGTCAATAAAACTGTAACAAACTCAATTTCAACATCACATAATAACAATAATAGTAATAAGAATCCTCCTCTTGCTAATGCTGGTCCAAGTTCTAGAACAGGAACTCGGAATAGACCATTCGAGCGAAAGCTCAAAGACATTCAAATTCCTCAATCTCTCGTACCTGGGAGAAATGTCGAAGCGAATACACGCAATTTATGGGTGATTGAAACCACCGTACCAGAAGCATCGTCATCAACATCAACATCCTCGTCATCATCCTCGGAAAGAATTTCCGAAGACAGAAGATCTGTCGCGATATCAATTGCAGATTCTGTCGCGCCTTCGATTGCGGAGTCGGTCGCGGAATCGTTTACCGTTCATTATCGACCTGAAGAACATGAAGAGCTTGGAAAAGGAACGCGTGGCGATGATGGTGTTATACGTGTGACTTTAACACCGGCAGTGTGTCGATGATAATTGTATAATTATCCGTCATTGAATTTCATGCTAATATTATTGTAAATTATTTCTTTTTTTTTAGCATATTCGATTATTTGGGGCTGGGGGTATATTTCGGTCGGCCAGTGTACTATTATTATTATTATTATGGTTATTATTTATTTATTTTCTTATTTCTTCTTGGGTAATTGAGCTTTTAATTATTTTATAGTCAAAGTTTGTATTCGCCAGCAAAAAATCTAGACAATGGATGGTGTATAGTAGTATATAGACTAATTTAGTAATTATAATAGTATCGTTTTTTGATGATTTATTTATTTGTGAAGTCTCGATTTCCATTCCACGCATACACATTTTTCTTCTCTTTTAATCCCTCTTGTATATACGATAGACCGATATATACCCCTCCTTCAATAAATGCATAAATACATACAAATTAATTTAATTTATTATTTATTTATTAATTTATTTTTTGTGCGAATACACATAATCCATAAATCATATTTATTTTGTGTTAATATTATTATCTATTTACTGCTTGTAGTAGTAAGATTTTATTTTGATAATTATAAAAATCAAACATACAATTATCAAACAAAAAATTCATTATTTTCATAATCATGTATCATTATTCTTTTAGGTATCTTAAGAAAAAAAGTTATTTTAATCAAATCAAAAATTAATTAATTAATCGAGTCAGATTTTGATTTGGGAATTGTGTTATCATTATATAAAAAATGTCACATTTTAATAATAATCTTGTATATGGCGCAGGAATTCAATGTGTTTCATGTTATAAATTCTATCAATTTCTTAACTAGGAAGTAAACCCACCGGTAATATTACCAAGGAAGTCCCTTTCTATAATATTACCGATTAAATTTTGGATTTACTTCCTAGTTAAGATAGAATTTATAAAACATCCCGATTTAAGAATTCCTGCACAGAATTATTTCTGCATGGCAATTAATTGATTTGATTTTTTATAATGCCGATTACGCGAATTATCAAGTATTATTACTATAAAATGTCATAAATTGTTATTTTAAAATCTTATTAGTTTATCGATATTGCTTGTATTAAAATAAAAATAAATATTTATTCAAAAACAAAATATTTATATATTTTTTTTAATTTTAATAAACAGTAAGCTTTCAAAATAAAACTATTTATTTTTGAAAAATTGAAACATATATGTATTATTATAATAATATTTAAGATTGTTTGGTTATCTCATTTTTCTTTGATTTAAAGAAATGGTTGGTCTGAGATTTCTTTTTTTCTATTTCATATTCTAATTTATTTTCTAAATTAAAGTCTGTTGAATTAAATTTTCCAGATGAATCAAATTCTTGTTGATTTCTTTTTGAATTTTCTAGTTTTTTTATGAGTATTAACAATTTTTAAATTAGAAATTTTTATTAACCAAAGAAATACATACAGCTTGAACAATTTTCTTATTTGGTTGAAAGATATACATATATAGTGGCGATCATAATTAATGCAACAAAAAAAAAATTTTTCGTTAAATCGAAATATTTTATGCAAATTCAGAGATATCCTTTTTTTTCTTGATATGTTTTATTCGTTAATAGTATCATTTTCAGATAATAAAAATCAAATACGGATCCATAAATTAATTATCCCACAAATTATATGTTTATTCGATAAGTACTGTTGCATTATTTATTTTCTTTTTGAATACAACTCAAATATAACATATAAAACTAAACTAAAATACTAATTTTTTTCATTTAAATGTATATATTATATAGAATTTGGCCCATCCTATCATCTTGTATAACCATCTTGTACCTTTATTACATTACGAACTCTTTCTGACATAGAATGAATCAGGTTGGTACAAGTATCAACATTGATTTCTTGCCAAATCTGTTGTATCTTGTTTCACAAGTCCTCCTTACTCGAAATTTGTCCAGGAAGACACTGAAGATGATGATCAACCTTATTTCATAAATGTTTGATGAGGTTCAGATCAGGAAATTGTGATGACCAATTCAATACTTTAACTCTATTATTCCTAAGTCACTGTTTCGTTGAATTTGCTGTATGTTTAGGATCTTCATCTTGTTGGAATATGATATTTCTGACAGTGAATCTGTGATCTTTAATAATATTCATAAGATCTTTATGAAGTATCTATTGGTACAATTTGGTATTTATCATACCATCAATCTTACAAAAGTTATCAACATCCAGAATGTAAAGCATCTCCAAATTATTACCGATCCACCCCAAACTTTACCGTAGGTTTAATATGAAATTGATTTAATGACTCACCTAGATATTTTTAGTAATATTGCTTTCTATTAGAACTGAAAATCTTAAATTTAAACTTGTCAGACCATATAATCTTTGACCAATCTTTGATGATCCAATTTTTGTGATTTTGTGCAAATTCTAACCATTTTATTTGATGTTTTTTGCTTAGGTAGGATTTTTTTTCTTTATTCTTAATATCAAATCATTGTCCTGTAATATATGATGAATGATAGGTGCTGATATATTAATATTCTTTTTTTCTTGTATGCATTTTGAACTTCTACTACAGATGAACACTGTCAGGGGATAATAAGATTAATATGATAGGTGATTGACCAGATCTTACTGCATCTTCAAGAAAATGTTGTTCCTGTCATCTTTTATTAATACAGAAAATTGTTGAGGGATTGATATTCCTTGACTTTGCTATTTGTCTTGTAGTGTATCCATTTTGGAGCAAAAGAAGAATTTGTATCCATTCTTCTGGAGTCGTATGACATTTTTGCACTTGAGTTTTTTGATCAAAAAGCTGCAACATGATATGATATGTAAACAATATTTGATAAAATTACCTTTTATATAATATTTATATAGTACAACTATGACCGCCTGATTTTTGCATAAAATAATGCAACATGTGTTTTGTACTAATCATGTATTTATCTTGGGATTGAAAATAATAATGACTGTTAAGAATTTAATATATAAAAATAATACTATTAGTGAACAAAATTATCAAAAAACAAAAAGAATATCTTCTAATTTTCATGAAATATTTTGATTCAACAAAAATCTTTTTTTTGTTGCATTAATTATGATCGTTACTATATATATTTATCAAAATTATTATAAAGTATTATTTCAAATATATATATTATCACCATTCACTCTTTTACTTGATCACCTGACATGAGATATTATCAGATCCCGAGTAATATTCAATCAATTTCTATTTATAAATATTTATTTATCCATTTATTTATTTATTTTTAATTATTTTTTATTTACATCTAGTGATATTATAAATCACCAATCATTTTATTTATTTATTATGTAATTTTTATTAATTATTAGTTATTATATTTTATTAGTTCTTGATTTCTAATTATTAATCTATTTAATTTTGATTATT